GTGAAAATAGCATAAACGAGCATTGTAAAATTGTTAATATCAAAATTTTTAATATATTATGTTTATTTCGATAAGTATTTAAAAAAGCTCATTTTTAATAAACCATATAAATATTATACGTATTATTTTACCAAAGTTTTTAGGTATTACTTTTTTATCTTTGTAAAAAATGAATATAGGATTTTCAAATCATATCAATTGCAAATAAGTAAAATTTGGTACGCAAAAATAGTCTTTTAACACGATAAATACGTTAAAAACAAGTAGTAAAAGATGATTGAATAGCTTTTCAAAACTGAAAATTTGTTCCATCTTTTGTAGAGCAATTCTTATAAAATAACCAATTATACAAAGGTAAAAGCTTGTAGTTTACATCATATTGCTGCTTGCTTTTTCAAATTTTGAATCTTTTTAGAGTTATGACATAACTGGGATTGTGCTCATTTGTGGCGATTCTTAGCAGTGTAAGCTTCCTTAATAATACTGCCACTTGATAATAATTTGCATTTTCATGCATAATTTATCGAATTTCCTTTGTTTTTGATGAAAAATATTTTCATTACTTTCTCATTATAATTATAATTATTATAAACCTTTATATTTGGTTTTGGGGTTAATTTTGGGCTTAAAAATGTTTGATAATATCTCAAAACGTACCGTTAGAAAATTTAATAATTTAATAAATATATTAATTAAATATATCATTAATAATAAATAAATATTCTATATATGCAAGTAGTCGAGGAGGTCAAATAGTTTCCTAAGTTCTATTCAAACAGTTTATAAAAAATATTTGAAATTAGTAAACTTTCTCCAATTAAATTTTATTAGCAATATTTCGTCAATTTCTCTTCATGAATACTTCTGGAATAATAGAGATTTCTTATATATAAACCATTCAATATTACATTAATTATAATCGACGATTAAAAAATCAAAATCTTAATTCCGATTTGATGAAAAGTCAAACTTTAATCAAAATCATTTATTCAAGTCAATTTTAAATCGACTCGATTTATATCTGTGTTATAAGTGAGATACAATTATCAGGAAATTTTCGAAAACTCGATTATCAAGTCTGAGAATCAAGATATCGGCATTTATAACCCAGATAAAGCCTTATCATAAGATGAATGTTCTCAGTTATATAAAAGTTTTAAAAAGTATTACGAAGATTTAAAAAATTTGGGCCATCTTACACTTCGAATCGTTTCTATTGGAATCAAACCGCAAACGATTTATTTCAAAGCAACTATATGTTGCTTGCGACAATGGAACAAATTAAACTTATACTCCAATTTAATTTTATAAGCAAATTGATCATTTCTATCAAAAAGTTTCAATTTGTTCGATCATTTATATCCTCAAAAAACTTTTTTGTAGGTAAATGGAGCAAAATAGCATGTATGAAACTCCTAGATCATATTTGAAAAGATTAATAGAATATGATGATAGCGATAATTTTCAGATTATAATTAATTTCACCTCAAGTAATCAAATTGAAACCAAAAATAATAATAATAATTATAATAATGATAGTCAAAATTCACAAGAGAAAAAAGATAAAATCACAATTAATACCACTAAAAATAAAGCACGAGTTATTTCAAGAAAAATCAACGATGCTTACCAAGTTGATCCTACAATTAACGAATATCCCATCAATCTTCCACAACAACTCAAATCACAACTAGCAAAATATACCAAGGAAAGCATTGAAGAAATTCTTCAAAAGCTAATCAAATCGACCGTTGATAAAGTTGAGATTAATAAGCCACAACAAGAAATCTATTCAATAATAACGACGATTCTTAACGGTTATACTGATAAAGAAGACAAAATGAGATATGAAGTGAAGAGCCAAGAAGAAGCGATTTCTTTGTTATGCACAGAATTCCATTCACGATCAATTGAGTACTTATCTGGTCACATCAAAGAATTCATTGTAAGTTCAGAAATGAGAAACATTGAAGAAGGTATCATCAAAGAGATCATCGATGCTTACGTATCACATCGTGAAGATGTAGAAAAGGAGAACGAAAGTGAAATTTATGACATCTTTGAGTCACTTGTGAGCGAAGGAGAAGCTGTAACAGTGATGCACTTCCTTCTTTCGCTTGGAATTGAAGAATACGACGAAAGCATGATTAAATTCATTTACGATAACCTTGACGATGAAATAATTGAATGTGAAATTTCAGGCATCATTTTCACTCTGAGGTGTCACTTTTTTGAACTTCTCGAAACAGTCAAAAACAAAAACAGAAACAGAAAGAAAAAGAAACTTGATAGCGAAGAGAAAGAATGCGAATACAACGGAAACGAACTGTCAGGCATCATTGACTACCTGCAGAAACAAAACGGCGCCGATCTTGAAGCAGGAAACATTCTGAAACTTTCAGGCGGAGGAGTTCCTCATCCTTCATATCCAGTCACCAACCTGATCAAATATAATTCAAACAACATGAACAGTGAGTTCTATTATAATTATTATAGCGGTACTCCGAGTTCGAATGATGGGTGGATTGAATTTGACTTTGTGAACAAAACAGTCAATTTGACATCATACACAATTCGAACAAATAGTTGTCACTATCCAAAATCGTGGCGAATTGTTGGCTCGAACGATCACGAACACTGGGAAGACATTGATCACAGAGTTAACAATTCAGAACTGAATGGCGGTTACAAGCAGCATCGATTTGAGAACACGAAAAGTGACAAATATTATCGTTACATTCGATACATCCAAGAAGAAGAATGGACTCATGGTTCATCACACAATTATTGCATCTATTTAACGCGAATTGAATTGTTTGGAACAATTTCATCACCAAAATCACAAGTATGAATAAAATGCCTCTTTACTGCAAATGAGCTTTATATTTGTTATTTTTGAATACAGAGAAATAATTGGTAATTATCTAAATTGCCTATCATGTTTTATTAATACATTTATATTCTTTTCTAAAAATTTAACCAATTAAAGCAAAACTTAACATTAATAGCATCTGAATTCACCAACGTTTGATTCATTTTATGTAAACATACTATTTACTTCAATTGTTGTAAATTTACAGTTATTTCAAAGTTTTTTTGATCCTGACTTCAATGAAATCTCATAATCTGATGGTGAAGATCATGATCTATATAATGTAGAAATTTATGATGTTGATCCCTTTATAGGCACAAGACAATCTTCTCTTAAATCGCCTTTCAAAAAAGACAAATAAATAATCCAGATGCAATTATTTTTAGTGATAAAAAAAAAATAACATTTAAGAGAAAAAAAAATCAAAATATTTCTGTATTTAATTCAATCACATTTGCAAATTTATTATTCAACAATTTTATGATAACGTATAAAATAAAAAAAAACTTTTATTATTCACAACAAAAATTTTAAATAATGAATAAATATACATATAAAGAAAACATCATTGAAGATTACGAAACAATATATAACAATCAATAACTTTTACCTCTTATAAGGAGGTTTTCTTCTATTTTGAAACGGATTTTCTTTATTTTTCTTATTTTCAGACGGACAATCATTCTCGTTACGATCATTCGTCTGAGTTGATGGCATGATACTAATTAAATTGAACTTGTCCACAATCAATTGTCTCAAATTCGTTGTGTTTTGTAATGTGATGTAATTCACGATACCATTCAATAAGGACCTTTCATTGAACGACCTATTTGAGATCAACTTTAAATAAGCGTCAGAGCACTTTTTACGAAATTCGAAATATTGAATGCATTCTCACCCAAAAAATTCCCTGGAATTTGCGGGTCCTCGATAGAGATGCAAATTGGAGTGTTCCAACTGACACGATACAAATCGAGCTTGTCGAATGTCATTCCGCCTTCTCTCGTCGAAATTCCGGTCGTTTTTGATATCGATTCTCAAAATAACAAGCCTAAAAATGAATTTAAAATTGGTGTTGTTTCATGAGAATTATATCGTATAAATTACACGATATAAAAAATTTTGTGAGACTTCAAAAATTTTTCTATAAAACAAATATTTATATCAAAGTAAATGTGGAAATTCCGAGTAGATGCTGATGCTAAGCAATTTGAGGATGACCTTAGTATGCCGAGCCATTATCAGCTAATTGATGATTATGTTTTACAAGATGGGAAAAAGCATCCATTCTCTATAGTAGTTCCTGGAGGAAGCTATCGATGTGTAGCCAATTTCATCGAAGGGAAGCCAATAGCTCAAAAATTGAACCAAAAAGGCATCTCCACATTCATCCTCTATTATCGAACAAATGAGCAAGCGCGATACCCAGCACCGATGGATGATCTAGCTCGTTCAATAGTTGAAATTTTTGACAATTCAGACAAATATAGCCTCGACACAACAAATTATTCAATTTGGGGATCATCAGCAGGTGGCCATTTGGCAGCTTCATTTGGCACAGAACACATGGGCTTTTTGAAGTACAAGCTGATGAAGCCTCGTGCACTCGTTCTATCCTACCCTGTCATCACAATGGATAAAAAGTTCACCCACAGACTCTCTCACGACCTTCTCCTCGGTCACGATGCAACGGCTGAATTTGAAAACTTTGCAAGCATTGAGAAAAACGTTACAAAAAAGTTCCCGCCAACCTACGTGTGGTGCGGTGATGCTGACACAGTTGTCAATCCAGAAAACTCACGGATGCTTGCCAGGGAGCTTCAAGCGGCCGGCGTGCCAGTGAAAATTGAAGTGTTTCCAAAAGTTGTTCACGGAGTTGGCCCTGGAACGGGAACTGCTGCCGAGGGATGGATCGACAAGGCAATTGACTTTTGGATGTCACAAAAAGTTGATATATAATATAATGATATAAATTGAAATATTCATAATTCTATTGTTTATCATTTATTAAATATTCTAGATTTTTTCTAGGACATCAAGACTAATTTTGTTTATTAAATATTTGTTGGTTGAAAAAGCTTTTAATATTTGAAAATAAAGGAAATAAAACAAAAAATAAAGCAAAAAATACCTCTGGTGGGACTCGAAACCACGACTTCGGCATGGTACAGCCAACGCTCTCTCCAACTAAACCACAGAGGATTTCTATTAAAAAGAATACCACTTTTAATGTTAGATATCTTTTTTTGAGGATCAATCTGATAAGAAGAAGAAATGATAGAAAATAAAGAACAATTACGAATTAGAATGAACCACAGACAAAGAATCAGAGATAAAGAATAATTCATCTTCATCAGTAACTTTTCTTCCCTTATGATTCATCTTCATCCTTATTTCACTCATTCTCAATTATTCCTCTTCATTTGTAGCTCATCTTTTAAAAGATAAGAAAAGATGGTATTCAGAAAATGTAAGAGCCTACACGATGGAATAAAATGCATCTAAAAATAGCAGAAATGTCAGAAAAAAAAATTGATATTTTTTAAAAATTTAATTTTTTATCTAATCTAGACTGATTCTATTCTTAATTCAATTCTTATTTGCAGTGAGCAAGAATTTCATCTGAAACATGCAAGAGAGTATCAGAAGCATGTCCAATCGTCTCTTTGAGATATTTTGTGTTATCAGCAACTTGCTGTTTCACCTTTTCTGGATCGATTTCCATGATCTTGTCGAGTTGCTCCTCTGTGATGCTGCTTCCCTTCCAGTCGAGATCTTCACAATGAGGAATGAGACCGAGCGGGCTCTCGTGGGCCTTTGCTGTGCCTTCAACACGGACAGCCATCCAAGCCAAAACGCGAGCATTCTCGCGATAGCCTGGCCGCATGAAGCGGCCATTGGCGTCCTTGCGGAACCAGCTGACGTGGAAGACGTGAGGAAGCTTGACGTGGTACTTCGTGTCCGTTTCGAGGTAGCGGTTGAAGTAGTCGCCCATGTGATAACCGCAGAATGGAAGCATAGCAAACGGATCACGACGTAAGGCGCCGACTCTACCTTCTGCCGCGGCTGCCTGTTCTGAGCCAACTGTGGCGCCCATGCAGACACCATGCAGACACCATGCGCCCAGCTACGCGCTTCGTAAACGAGAGGAACGTCATTCATGCGACGTCCGCCATAAACGAAGATCGACACTGGGACGCCATCTCGATTCTCCCAGTCTGGATCGATGCAGGGGCAGTTGCAGGCTGGCGCTGTGAAACGGCTGTTTGGATGCGACGATGGGCGTCCGCATCCTGGCGCCCAGTCGCTGCCATTCCAGTCGATGAGATGCGCAGGCGGCTCCTTGGCCATTCCTTCCCACCAAACATCGCCGTCGTCTGTCAATGCGACGTTTGTGAAGATCGTGCTCCTGGCGCATGACAAAAGGGCGTTTGGGCTAGTTTCCATCGCTGTGCCTGGCGCAACACCGAAGAAGCCGTTTTCTGGGTTGATTGCACGAAGTTCGCCATCTTTGCTTGGCTTGATCCATGTGATATCATCACCGACTGTCGTCACTTCCCACCCCTCGTCAAGGAGAGCGTCTGGAGGAATGATCATCGCGAAGTTTGAAGTGAATAGCCAAGAAGAAGCGATTTCTCATAAATATGATAAAGAATAAATAAAAGAATATATTTTTCAAAAATAATTATAAATTAGCAAAGTAGATGGTTAAAATTCCAAACTGATATTCAAACAGTTTATAAAAAGTATTTAAAATTAGTTAACTTACTCCAATTTAATTTTATAAGCAAATTGATCATTTCTATCAAAAAGTTTAAATTTGTTCGATCATTTATATCCTCAAAAAAATTTTTTTAGGTAAATGGAGCAAAATAGCATGTATGAAACTCCTAGATCATATTTGAAAAGATTAATAGAATATGATGATAGCGATAATTTTCAGATTATCATTAATTTCACCTCAAGCAATCAAATTGAAACCAAAAATAATAATAATAATTATAATAATGATAGTCAAAATTCACAAGAGAAAAAAGATAAAATCACAATTAATACCACTAAAAATAAAGCACGAGTTATTTCAAGAAAAATTAATGAAGCTTACCAAGTTGACCCTACGATTAACGAGTATCCTTTCAACCTTCCACAACAACTCAAATCACAACTAGCAAAATATACCAAGGAAAGCATTGAGGAAACCCTTCAAACGCTGATCAAATCAATTGTTGATAAAATCGAGGTTAATAAGAACCAACAAGAAATCTATTCAATAATAACGACGATTCTTAACGGTTATACAGATAAAAGAGACAAAATGAGATATGAAGTGAAGAGCCAAGAAGAAGCGATTTCATTGTTAAGCACAGAATTCCATTCACGATCAATTGAGTACTTATCTGGTCACATCAAAGAATTCATCCTAAGTTCAGAAATGAGAAACATTGAAGAAGGTATCATCAAAGAGATCATCGATGCTTACGTATCACATCGTGAAGATGTAGAAAAGGAGAACGAAAGTGAAATTCATGACATCTTTGAGTCACTTGTGAGCGAAGGAGAAGTTTTAACAGTGATGCACTTCCTTCTTTCGCTTGGAATTGAAGAATACGACGAAAGCATGATTAAATTCATTTACGATAACCTTGACGATGAAATAATTGAATGTGAAATTTCAGGCATCATTTTCACTCTGAGGTGTCACTTTTTTGAACTTCTCGAAACAGTCAAAAACAAAAACAGAAACAGAAAGAAAAAGAAACATGATAGCGAAGAGAAAGAATGCGAATACAACGGAAACGAACTGTCAGGCATCATTGACTACCTGCAGAAACAAAACGGCGCCGATCTTGAAGCAGGAAACATTCTGAAACTTTCAGGCGGAGGATATCCCAATCCTTCATTTCCAATCACCAACCTGATCAAATATAATTCAAACAACATGAACAGTGAGTTCTATTATAATTATTGTAGCGGTACTCCGAGTTCGAGTGATGGGTGGATTGAATTTGACTTTGTGAACAAAACAGTCAATTTGACATCATACACAATTCGAACAAATGGTTTTTACTATCCAAAATCGTGGCGAATTGTTGGCTCGAACGATCACGAACACTGGGAAGACATTGACCACAGAGTTAACAATTCAGAACTGAATGGCGGTTACAAGCAGCATCGATTTGAGAACACGAAAAGTGACAAATATTATCGTTACATTCGATACATCCAAGAAGAACAATGGAATGGTTCATCATGCAATTATTGCATCTATTTAACACGAATTGAATTGTTTGGAACAATTTCATCACCAAAATCACAAGTATGAATAAAATGCCTCTTTACTGCAAATGAGCTTTATATTTGTTATTTTTGAATACAGAGAAATAATTGGTAATTATCTAAATTGCCTATCATGTTTTATTAATACATTTATATTCTTTTCTAAAAATTTAACCAATTAAAGCAAAACTTAACATTAATAGCATCTGAATTCACCAACGTTTGATTCATCTTATGTAAACATACTATTTACTTCAATTGTTGTAAATTGAAAGCAAAAAATCTTTTTCAAAAAACACAGTTATTTCAAAGTTTTTTTGATCCTGACTTCAATGAAATCTCATAATCTGATGGTGAAGATCATGATCTATATAATGTAGAAATTTATGATGTTGATCCCTTTATAGGCACAAGACAATCTTCTCTTAAATCGCCTTTTAAAAAAGACAAATAAATAATCCAGATGCAATTATTTAAAGAAATAATAAAAGTGATAATAAAAATGTAGCTATTCTAAATAACATTTAAGAGAAAGCAAAAATCAAAATATTTCTGTATCTAAACCAATCACATTTGCAAATTTATTATTCAACAATTTTATGATAACGTATAAAATAAAAAAAAACTTTTATTATTCACAACAAAAATTTTAAATAATGAATAAATATACATATAAAGAAAACATCATTGAAGATTACGAAACAATATATAACAATCAATAACTTTTACCTCTTATAAGGAGGTTTTCTTCTATTTTGAAACGGATTTTCTTTATTTTTCTTATTTTCAGACGGACAATCATTCTCGTTACGATCATTCGTCTGAGTTGATGGCATGATACTAATTAAATTGAACTTGTCCACAATCAATTGTCTCAAATTCGTTGTGTTTTGTAATGTGATGTAATTCACGATACCATTCCAATAAGGACCTTTCATTGAAAGACCTATTTGAGATCAACTTTAAATAAGCGTCAGAGCACTTTTTACGAAATTCGAAAGTATTGAATGCATTCTCACCCAAAAAATTCCCTGGAATTTGCGGGTCCTCGATAGAGATGCAAATTGGAGTGTTCCAACTGACACGATACAAATCGAGCTTGTCGAATGTCATTCCGCCTTCTCTCGTCGAAATTCCGGTCGTTTTTGATATCGATTCTCAAAATAACAAGCCTAAAAATGAATTTAAAATTGGTGTTGTTTCATGAGAATTATATCGTATAAATTACACGATATAAAAAATTTTGTGAGACTTCAGAAATTTTTCTATAAAACAAATATTTATATCAAAGTAAATGTGGAAATTCCGAGTAGATGCTGATGCTAAGCAATTTGAGGATGACCTTAGTATGCCGAGCCATTATCAGCTAATTGATGATTATGTTTTACAAGATGGGAAAAAGCATCCATTCTCTATAGTAGTTCCTGGAGGAAGCTATCGATGTGTAGCCAATTTCATCGAAGGGAAGCCAATAGCTCAAAAATTGAACCAAAAAGGCATCTCCACATTCATCCTCTATTATCGAACAAATGAGCAAGCGCGATACCCAGCACCGATGGATGATCTAGCTCGTTCAATAGTTGAAATTTTTGACAATTCAGACAAATATAGCCTCGACACAACAAATTATTCAATTTGGGGATCATCAGCAGGTGGCCATTTGGCAGCTTCATTTGGCACAGAACACATGGGCTTTTTGAAGTACAAGCTGATGAAGCCTCGTGCACTCGTTCTATCCTACCCTGTCATCACAATGGATAAAAAGTTCACCCACAGACTCTCTCACGACCTTCTCCTCGGTCACGATGCAACGGCTGAATTTGAAAACTTTGCAAGCATTGAGAAAAACGTTACAAAAAAGTTCCCGCCAACCTACGTGTGGTGCGGTGATGCTGACACAGTTGTCAATCCAGAAAACTCACGGA